GGGGGGGGGGGGGGACAGGGAGGGTAGGAGGAGACCAGAAGGGTCATGTGCTATAAACTACTACCTCTTGCCCCTGAGCCAACCCATTTTCCCCACCAAGTGAAGGGCAAGCAGTCTGGCTGTGCATGCTACCCACAGGGAGGTCCTCATGATACTCTGCTCAAGAGTACCATAGTGACGTGGAACCATTCACGGCATCTCTCAGTACAATATTGTCTCTTTAAAAGCAGTGATGAGATCTCGTTCCTCAGAGCAGCTCTCAGCTCTCAGTGGAGCAGTTGGGAGGATGTAACCAGGGCACAGGAGCCTGAGACCCCTGCTGTGGTTTGAATCAGAAGTGTTCCGAACAAAGCCTCGTGTTTTCAATGCCTGTGCCCCAGCCAGTGCTGCCATTTTGGAAGGCTGTTGGGAACAATAAAAGAAAGTTTCCCTAGGTGTTTTACCTGCACACAGCTCCATAAGGAATAATTTTCCAGGTTCTTTCACCATGGAACAAAGAGACCACTGCAGCCAAGGTTCGAAAGGGTCAGAGTTGCTGCAAGGAGCCCCCAAGGTCTGTTGATGAAGCTATGAAGGTAAAGACTAAGTTGCAATAGAGTTTCAGGATATTAGAGATGACAAGATGGTTGCCAAGGAAAGCGTTAAGCACAGAAGACAGCCATCCCAGGATGGAGGCTGTGCAAGGCACATGTGTAAGAGAAGGGCTTCCCACTGCAGCTACGGGATTTGATGTTTTCCGGGTTGGCTTTGGGCCTACCCCCAGCCCCCCACTATGTCACCATCCCTCACTTTCAGAGTGGGGGCATTGACTCTGTATTCTTGTATACTGGAAGTGCACAGATTCTGTATTTCCTAGGACCTCATAGCTAAAAGACTGCATGGGTCTCAGCGAAGACTCTGGGTGTGGATTTTTGGACAGTGACCAAACTGTGGGCTGTGGGACTCTCTAAATTGGATTAGATGTATTTTCTGTTATGAGATGGTCATTAGCCTTCGGAGGTCCAGGGGTAGAATGCAGTGGTTTGAATATGGACTGTTACCTCACAGACTCAAGCTTTGACGATGGGCTCTCCAGTTAGTCACACAAAGAGAGGGGTAGAACCTTTAAAAGGTGGTAACTAGTAGACAGATATGGATGACCAGGTGTAAGTGTTTTAAGGTGTATCTGGTTCCCGGTTTCTGGCTGGCTCTCTGCTTCCTGTCTGTGGGAACACAAATAGCTTCTTCAGCATAGTGAACTGAATGCCCTCCATTGCCTTCCCCGCTTGGTGAAGGCAAGCTTTGGAGACTGTGAAGCCATTTGAATTTCTTCCCTTCATCAGCTGTGTCAGATGTTGTAGCCACTGCAGTGCAGAAATAACTAATACATCTTGTCCCTGAGTGACCAGAGAGCCCCCAAGGAACCCTAGAGAATCAAAACAATAGAAGGAAAGACAAGGACACACAAGAGTAGATGTGGACCCTGAGGGGCAGGTTTAACAGGTTTGTCTTTGTTAGAAATAAGTTCTGGGTCTTAAAGAAAAAGACTGCCATTCCAACTGAAGTATCTATCTAGACAGGCAAAGTTCACTCTTGGTCAAGTGGCCACACTCCTAAGGGGGAGCACAGAGACAGGATGTGCACTTGGTAGTGGCGTCCTTTCCCCATTGGTGGGAGGCAACCTCATAGCCTTATTTGATTAGCTAGTCTGGTCATAAAATTCCTGGAGTGTAGCAAGAGGCCTCTGTGTAAACAAAGGTTTTATCAGGTTGAGGAGGTGATTAAGAAATTTGCATAAAAGTCTTAAAAGGTGGAAAAAGATAAAAAGTTTTATAGTATTTCATAGAAAAGACTCATTTAATATTTCTTACATCTCAGAGCCCAGGTGTACAAAATATAGACTTGGGGAGCAACTGACATTTGTTGGGAAAAGGATGATGAAGGCTGAACCCAAAACTCAGAGGGTGTGATTAGCCATCAGGGTTTCAACAAGCTGGCTGGTCAGGGAACCCAAGCCCAGCCCTACAGTCTGAGAAGTCCCAAGCAGGGGAGTGGTGAAGACCAGGCTAGCACTACAGAAAGAAACCCACCACAAGTATAAACTGTGTTAGGAAACACAGGGGGAAGGGACAAGAGAGAAAAGGATTTATGTGGGGAGAGGGCAAGAGCCATGAGTGACATGAGATCTGCCATTTAACAAGGAAGGGAAAGAATCAAAGCATGGAATCACAGATCGAGTCCAGGGGAAGTCTGAGAAACAGAGTGTTTAGCTAGCTAGTGACGAGCATGCCCATCCAGTCAGAGGAACCCTGTCTACTTGACAACTCCCCAAAAACTATTCTAGAGCAGGGGTTCTCAACCTTCGGGTTGTGATTCCTTTGGGGGGGTCAAACGACCTTTTCACAGGGGTGGCATGTCATCATATATTTACATACGATCCAGAACAGTAGCAAAATGACAGTTATGAAGTAGCAATGAAATAATTTTATTTGGGGGTATTGCATTAGAGGGTCACAGCATTAAGAAGATGGAAATCCATTGTTTTAGCGGGTCACTGAATAACAAACCTGTGGCTAGATAACTCTAACTTGGTTTAAGCTTTCAGTGTTACTTAGTCTTCACGACTTGGGAAAGATGGAGGTAAAACCACCAAAGCAAATCTGAAGAAGTTGACTGTGCTAATAAGGCTATCATCTTGACAACACAACCCAAGGGTAAGGTGTTTATATTATTTTAATTGTTAGCAATTAAACTAATTAGCAAAGGCTTGATAATGGAGCAATAAGGAGATGTCAAAGAAGAGACATGGAGTATAAAGTGCAGGTGAGGTTTGGCAAAAGGCCTCACAAGCCCTTCAGTTGTAAGGGAAGGGCTACGATCTGGAGAAGAGGACAGTGAAATGGGGCAGGGGGACAACAGGAAGCACTGAGTTTTAAAACTCATTCTATGGATGATCAGACTCTCCTAAAAAGATTGTCATCTTTGATAGGCAGAAGTGTTCCCTTTCTTACAGAGTAGAAATGCTACCTGTAAGCACTGGGCATGCTTCACCTCAGTTATACAAACCTACGGCAAGAAGGACGGCACTCTGAGGCTAACACCCGAGCCCATATGTGCTAGAACACAGAGCCTTTAATGGCAGGATTATCCAAGTCGACGTAGATATTTCTAGGAAGGGTGCTACTGAAATGGGAAATGTCTTAAGTGTGGCCCTTCTAACAGAACCTGCAGAAAGAAGGTGGAGTAGGAACTGGGCTATGCTCAAGAATGGGCTAATTATGCAAAGCCTAATCAATCAAGACTGGAAAGTGGGGGAATTATGGTTCGGCCTCAATGTGGATATGGCTTTTCAAGTTTAAAAACAAAAGACAGTGAATCTAAAGCAGTACAGCCAAGGCCTTTGTTACCAGGAAACCTTCCAGCATCCACAGGGGGATAAGGTCCCTTTGCGCTCAGTCTTCCCACACACTGACTTGGTAGATAGAGTTGTGGTTGAATTGCGCTAAATTAGAGCAAATGCTCATATTCCCCCTGAGGGCAGGAATGAGGGAAGGCAGGGTCAGGAAAGCAGGGAACAACTATGTCTTGGGGGTTCTGGAGACTAGAGCTCT